AAAGATAGGAAAAACAGTGTTAAAATTGGTGTAAAATGAGTCTGTGGGGACACATGGCCAGAACTCGCCAGTCCTGCTAGGCCTGGTATGGGGGGAAAAGAGGGGAAAATGGGAAAAATTGGGGTAAAATGGGGTGAAAGGGAAAAAACTAGGTGAAAATGGGGGGGGGAAATGGGACAAATTGACAAAAAACTGGAAAAAGCAGGGGGGAAATGGGGAAAAAAATGAGAAAAATGGGGTGAAATGGGGGAAAAAACAAAGGGAAAAGGGGAAAATGAGGCAAAAACAGAAAAACTGGGAGGAAACAGGAAAAACAGGAAGAAATGGGGTGAAAATTGGGGGAGAAATGGAAAAAACCCTCTTGATTTCCCACAGCAAGTGAAGTTTTCAGCAGGGATCATTTTTCATGCCCCTCAGGGTGGGGCTGGACAAGCCCCTCGGAGGCCCCCTGGCTCCACACATGTCCCTGCAGTGGGTCTGGAGCTCCCACACAGGTGGGAGGTGGGAGGACACCTCTCCCAGCTGGGATTTGCCCCCCAGGACAAGGGGAAGCTCCTTCCCTGCTGAGCCCAGGAACAGGGGGAGGCCCCACTTCACTCTCAGGGAGGAGCTGCCTCACTTGCTGATCCAAAAATCCTTTAAATGCCTCAGCAGGAGAACATTCCAGCCCCACTGAGAACCCTGGCAGTGATGTCATTCCACATCCACAGGCACAGGAATGCCACTCAGAGGCAGAGCTTTGCAGGCACAAGAACCTCACCACTGATACAACAATTTCAGAGAGGTTTTTTCCCCCCTCAGAGCTGGGAAGGCAATGGGTGGGGCTCGGGAAAAGTCCAGTTCAGGGTGTTTAAACCTGAGGGAGCAGCTGTTGGCTGTGCCTGCTCAGCTCAGGGCACAGAGGGCAGGGACAAACACCTACCTGGGCACTGCCAGGGGGGGCTGGGCCGAGCGAGGAGGGTGGGCTTTGACCATCTGCTTTCTGGGGTTTGCTGGGGCGCTGCTTTTTTCTCTGAAGGGGCCTGAGCCCAAACTCTTCAGTCCACACTTCCTTAAAGAGAATTCCGTGTGTTCCTGTGTCCACTGAGTGACCACATCAGCTCCCCACACCCAAACCCACCCTTTGTGGCACTGCTCACCCAGAAAGAGAAAGGGCCAAGGAAAGAAAGCAGAGTAAAGAAAAGGATCTTTAAAGCCATCACAGAATCCCAGAATGGTTTGGGTTGGAAGGGATCTTAAGGCCCACCCAGTGCCACCCCCTGCCATGGGCAGGGACACCTCCCACCTTCCAGGTTGCTCCAACCTGGCCTTGGGCACTTCCAGGGATCCAGGGGCAGCCACAGCTTCTCTGGGAATTCCATCCCAGCCCCTCCCCACCCTCCCAGGGAAGAATCCCTTCCCAATATCCCATCTAACCTCACCCTCTGTGAGTTTTAAACCATTCCCAATGTCCTGTTCTCCCTGCCCATTCTCCTACCTTCCCCACTGGCCTGTCCCACCTCCCTTCCTGGAGCCATCCATGTTTATCCCCTGTTCCTTTCCAGCAGCATTCCCAGGGCCCATCACTCACTTCTGGACACACCAGGACTCACTTTTTCCCAGCTCTGTTCCTGAGATCCTGGATGTAGTTGGTTCTCTCTATGGGATGCCCTCGGGATTTGTTGAACACTGGAGAGGGACAGGTCTGAGCTACAACCTTTGGGGCTGAAGAGCAGTTAAAACCCTTCACAAGGATTTTAACCCCTTCAACCAAGCACAGCTCCCCTCCCTGGGGCCACCCCAAACCTTCTGACCATCCCAAATCCCAATAAATACCCCACACCCAATCAAGAACCCACACTTACACTCTATGGCAGCGTTTGGCTCCATGCCTTCAACATCAATCAGGTACCTGAGCAGAGCAGCAAGAAAACCCTAATTACACACAATTAACGAGGAAAACATCCACAGGTTGGTGATGATTCAAACAGAAGAAAGAACTGGGAAGTTTGCAGAGCTTTTATTTACATGCCAGACTGGAGTATCAGCATCTGCTGTGCTGAAATTGGAATAAAAAGTGTCCCCAATAAAAAGTGAAAATCTACGGAAGTCTGGGATTGCACAGATCACTTGACTCTATTTCCTTGGCATTATTTCCTCCTGGAAATGCCACCACTTACCCCCCTGTGATAAGGACAACTCACCTGCACACCAGGTATCCAGTCCTGTTCAAGCCATGGGTGCAGTGAACCCCGATGAGTTTGTCTGTAACACACAAATCAGAGGATATTTATTATGTCTAACTTTATTTATGTCTATTATGTCTAACCAGCAGCCCTGATAGAACTTGTTACTTCTGCTACAGTCCCATGACTCAAATT